TGCCCCGGGGAGAGCGGGGGGTCAGGAATTCCTCACTTCCGGAATTCCCGAATTCCTGAATTCAGCAGTTCCGGAATTCCCGAATTCCTGAATTCCTCACTTCGGAATTCCCGAATTCCTGAATTCACCAATTCCTGAATTCCTCACTTCCGGAATTCCCGAATTCCTGAATTCCTCACTTCGGAATTCCCGAATTCCTGAATTCAGCAGTTCTGGAATTCCCGAATTCCTGAATTCACCAATTCCTCAATTCACAAATTCCGCAATTCCACAATTCCCAAATTCCTCAATTCAGAAATTCCTCAATTCCTGAATTCACCAATTCCTCAAATCCTGAATTCACAAATTCCTCAATTCACAAATTCTTGAATTCACCAAAATCCTGAATTCACCAATTCACAAATTTCTCAATTCCCAATTTCCTCAATTCCACAACTCACAAATTCCTGAATTCCCAAATTCCTCAATTCACAAATTCCTCAATTCCACAATCCACAAATTCCTCAATCCACAAATTCCTCAATCCACAAATTCCTCAACTCACAAGTTCCTAAATTATTAATTCCTGAATTCCCAAATTCTTCAATTCCTGAATTCACCAATTCCTCAAATCCTGAATTCACAAATTCCTCAATTCACAAATTCCTGAATTCACCAATTCCTCAATTCACAAATTCCACAATTCACCAGTTCCTCAATTCCTGAATTCCCAAATTCCTCAATTCCTGAATTCACCAATTCCTCAGTTCCTCAGTTCCGGAATTCCCAAATTCCTGAATTCCTCAATTCACAAATTCCTCAATTCACAAAATCCTCAATTCCACAATTCCCAAATTCATCAATTCCTGAATTCCCAAATTCTTCAATTCCTGAATTCACCAATTCCTCAAATCCTCAAATCCTGAATTCACAAATTCCTCAATTCCTCAATTCCACAATTCCTCAATTCCACAATTCACAAAATACTCAATTCCTCAATTCCCAAAATTCCTCAATTCCTCAGTTCACAAATTCCTCAATTCCCAAATTCCTCAATTCCACAATTCCCAAATTCCTCAATTCCCAAATTTCTCAATTCCACAATTCACAAATTCCTCAATTCCACAATTCCCAAATTCCTCAGTTCAGAAATTCCTCAATTCCTGAATTCACCAATTCCTCAAATCCTCAAATCCTGAATTCACAAATTCCTCAATTCACAAATTCCTCAATTCCCAAATTCCTCAATTCAGAAATTCCTCAATTCCTGAATTCACCAATTCCTCAAATCCTGAAATCCTGAATTCACAAATTCCTCAATTCACCAAAATCCTGAATTCACCAATTCCTCAAATCCTCAAATCCTGAATTCACAAATTCCTCAATTCCTGAATTCCCAAATTCCTCAATTCACAAATTCCTCAATTCCACAATCCACAAATTCCTCAATTCACAAATTCCTAAATTCCTCAATTCCTGAATTCCCAAATTCTTCAATTCCTGAATTCACCAATTCCTCAGTTCCTCAGTTCCGGAATTCCCAAATTCCTGAATTCATCAGTTCCTGAATTCCTCAATTCACAAAATCCTCAGTTCCACAATTCACCAATTCCTCAATTCCTGAATTCACCAATTCCTCAATTCCACAATTCACAAATTCCTCAATTCACAAAATCCTCAATTCCACAATTCCTGAATTCCCAAATTCTTCAATTCCTGAATTCACCAATTCCTCAAATCCTCAAATCCTGAATTCACAAATTCCTCAATTCCACAATTCACAAAATACTCAATTCCTCAATTCCCAAAATTCCTCAATTCCTCAGTTCACAAATTCCTCAATTCCCAAATTTCTCAATTCCACAATTCACAAATTCCTCAATTCCCAAATTCCTGAATTCAGAAATTCCTCAATTCCTGAATTCACCAATTCCTCAAATCCTGAAATCCTGAATTCACAAATTCCTGAATTCCACAATTCACAAATTCCTCAATTCCACAAATTCCTGATTTTCCGAATTCCAGTGGGGGAAAGATCCCAGATTCCTGAATTCCTGATTCCCCAAATTCCTGAGTTCCCAAATTCCTGAATTCCCTAAATTCCCAAATTCTCAGTGTTCCAAATTCCTGGATTCCTGAATTCCCCAAATTCCTGATTTCCCAAATTCCCGAATTCCAGTGGGGGAGAATCCCAAATTCCTGAATTCCCTACATTCCCCAAATTCCAAAATTCCCCAAATTCTTGAATTCCCAAATTCCTCAATTCCCCAAATTCCCAATTTCCCAAATTCCTGAATTCCCAAATTCCCAAATTCCGAATCCCCCAAATTCTCGAATTCCCAAATTCCTGAATTCCCAAAACCCCAAAATCCCCAATTCCCCAAATTCCTGAATTCCCAGTTCCCCAAATCCCAAATTCCAGCAGGGGGAAATCCCAAATTCCCGATTTCTCAAATTCCTGAATTCCAGAGGCCCCATCCCCGTGTTCCCCTCCCCCATCCCCATTTTCCTGTTTTCCCATCATTTTCCATCTTTTTCCATGTTTATCCTGCATTTTCCCCATTTTTGATCCCATTTTTCTGCCCCAATCCCATTTTTCTTGGTTTTCCACCATTTTCCATGTTTATCCTGCATTTTCCCATTTCCTACCCAATTTTTCTTCCTCCATTTCCCATTTTTCCCCCTTTCCCCAATCCCATTTCCCAGTTTTCCTCCATTTCCCATTTCCCTCCGTTCTCCATTCCCAGTTTCCCCATTCCCCATTCCCAGCTCACTCCCCAGTTCCCATTCCCTGTTCCCATTCCCAGTTCATTCCCCATTCCCCATTCCCAGTTCATTTCCCATTCCCAGTTCATTTCCCATTCCGAGTCCATTCCCATTCCCAGTTTCCATTCCCCATTCCCATTCCCAGTTCATTTCCCATTCCCAGTTCATTTCCCATTCCCAGTTCATTCCCCATTCCCAGTCCATTCCCATTCCCAGTTTCTATTCCCATTCCCAATTTCCATTCCCCATTCCCAGTCCATTCCCATTCCCAGTCCATTCCCATTCCCAGTTTCCATTCCCAGTCCATTCCCCATTCCCATTCCCAGTTTCCCCATTCCCCATTCCCAGTTCATTCCCCATTCCCATTCTCTAGTCCCCATTCCCTATCCCTATTCCCAGTTCATTTCCTCATCCCCGTCCCCATTTTCCCATTCCCATCCCCATTCCCAGTATCCCCAGTCCCACCTGGCCGGTACTGGTCCATCAGGTGGCTCCCAAACTTGTACATCCAATCCAGGTGCCCCATTCCCAGTTCATTCCCAGTTCATTCCCAGTTCATTCCCCATTCCCATCCCCATTCCCAGTATCCAATCCCAGTCCCACCTGGCCAGTACTGGTCCGTCAGGTGGTTTCCAAAATTGTACACCAGGTCCAGGTGCCCCATTCCCCATTCCCAGTTCATTCCCCATTCCCATTCCCCATTCCCATTTTCCCATTCCCATCCCCATTCCCATTTTCCCATTCCCATCCCCATTCCCAGTATCCCCAGTCCCACCTGGCCGGTACTGGTCCATCAGGTGGCTCCCGAAGTTGTACATCCAATCCAGGTGCCCCATTCCCCATTCCCTGTTCATTCCCCATTCCCAGTTCATTCCCCATTCCCAGTTCATTCCCAGTTCATTCCCCATCCCCATTCCCATTCCCCATTCCCAGTATCCAATCCCAGTCCCACCTGGCCGGTACTGGTCCGTCAGGTGGCTCCCGAAGTTGTACATCCAATCTAGGTGCCCCATTCCCAGTTCATTCCCAGTTCATTCCCCATTCCCATTCCCCATTCCCAGTTCATTTCCCCATCCCCATCCCCATTCCCCATTCCCATTTTCCCATTCCCATTCCCCACTCCCAGTTCCCCATCCCAGTCCCACCTGGCCGGTACTGGTCCGTCAGGTGGTTCCCAAAGTTGTACACCAGGTCCAGGTGCCTCATTCCCCATTCCCAGTTCATTCCCCATTCCCAGTTCATTCCCAGTTCATTCCCCATTCCCATTCCCCATTCCCAGTATCCAATCCCAGTCCCACCTGGCCGGTACTGGTCCGTCAGGTGGCTCCCGAAGTTGTACACCAGGTCCAGGTGCCTCCTCTCCTGCAGCCGGTTGCCCACCTCCCTGAAGGCCTCCTGGGCCATGTTCTCCATCTGCCGCCGGCCCAGCCCCAGCCCGTGGCGGGCGCTGGCGCCGCGGATCTCCCGCAGGATGTCCGAGTAGTCGGGGAAGGCGTCGGGCCGGTTGATGAAGCGCTCGATGCGCCGGTTCACCTCGGGGTACCGCGTGCCCCGGAAGCGGATGCGCTGCTCCAGCACCCGGCCCGTGAGGCTGCTGCACTCCTTGAGCTGGCACAGGCGGCGGAAGATGCGCATCATGCGCCGCTTCAGCCGGTTCTCCTGCAGGTACGGCGAGTCGGCGCTGTCCAGCTCGGCCAGGTCCAGCTCCCGCTCCTGCAGCCGCCGGATCTCGCTGGCGTAGACGCGCAGCAGGTGCTCCAGGTGCCGGATCTGCCGCCGGGAGCCGCCCGAGCGCCGCGGCTCCTCGGGCCGCCGAGAGGGATCGGAGCCGGCGAGCCGGGAGGAGGCGCCGGAGCAGCGGGACGGAGCGCTGGGATGCCGGGACGGAGCACCGGGATCGTCGGACGAAGCGCTGGGATGCTGGGATGGAGCACCGGGATCGCCGGACGAAGCGCTGGGATACTGGGATGGAGCACCGGGATACTGGGAGGAGCCCCCGGGGCCCTCGGGATACTGGCATGAACTGGTGGGATACTGGGACGAATCTCCGGCGGCACACTGGGACGAACCGGCGGCGCAGCGGGAGGAGGCTCCGGGAGGCTCGGCTCCGTCGGGATACCGGCACGAAGCGGGCGGGCACTGGGAGGCACTGGGAGGGCACTGGGATGTACTGGGGTACGCTCCGCCGGCAGAGCGGCACGCTCCCTGCGGACACCGGTCCGTACCGGGAGCACACCGGTCCGTGCTGGGAGCACACCGGTCCATACTGGGAGCACACCGATCCGTACTGGGAGCACACGGATCCGTACTGGGAGCACACCTGTCCGTACTGGGAGCACACCCATCCGTGCTGGGAGCGCACCGATCCATACCGGGCGGACACCGGTCCGTGCTGTGAGCGCACCGGTCCGTACCGGGAGCGCACCGGTCCGTACCGGGCGGACACCGGTCCGTACTGGGAGGACACTGGTCCGTACTGGGCGGACACGGGTCGGCGGCGGGCGGGGCGGAGCGCAGGGCCAGGCGGCGCCGCAGGGCGCGGGCCTTGAGCACGGTGCACAGCTCGTTGATGTACACGTACACCTTGCGGGGCCGGTCCCGCACGCGCCGCAGGAGCCGGCCCAGAATGTTCCGGAACTCGGCCGAGCCCCGGAAATCCGGGTGGGCCCGCAGGTGCCGCGAGCCCAGGAACGTCAGCACCTCGGGGTGCTCCTGCGTCAGCGGGGAGCACACGGACAGGAACTGCGGGAGAGAACACCTGGGTCACACCTGGGCACACCTGAGATACAGCTGGACTACAGCCGGGTACACCTGGATACACCTGAGATACAGCTGGGTACACCTGGGCACACCTGAGATACAGCTGGGCTACAGCCGGGTACACCTGGATACACCTGAGATACAGCTGGACTACAGCTGGGTACACCTGGATACACCTGAGATACAGCTGGACTACAGCTGGGTTACACCTGGATACACCTGAGATACAGCTGGGCACACCTGGATACACCTGGGTTACACCTGGGCACACCCTGGCGCACCTGAGATACAGCTGGGCTACAGCTGGGTACACCTGGATACACCTGAGATACAGCTGGGCACACCTGGATACACCTGGGCTACACCTGGGCACACCTGGGCGCACCCGAGATACAGCTGGGTTACACCTGGGTACACCTGAGATACAGCTGGGTACATCTGCGTTATAGCTGAGTACACCTGGGAAACACCTGGGCACACCTGAGATACACCTGGGGTAAACCTGGGCACATCTGGGTTACACCTGGGCACACCTGCATACACCTGAGATACACCTGGGCACACCTGGATATACCTGGGGTACACCTGGCTACAGCTGGGTACACCTAGATACACCTGAAATACACCTGGGTTACAGCTGGGCACACCTGAGATACACCTGGGGTACACCTGAGATACACCTGGGGTACACCTGGATACACCTGGACAGACCCGGGACACATCTGGACACACCCAGGGCACACCTGGGCCACACCAAGACACACCTGGGCCACACCCAGGGCACACTTGGGACACACCCAAGACACACCTGGGCATACCTGGGCCACAGCCAAACACACCTGGGACATACCCAGGACACACCTGGGCCACACCCAGCACACACCTGGGCATACCTGGGCCACACCCAAACACACCTGGGCCACACCCAGGACACACCTGGGCACACTTGAAAACATCTGGGAAAGCCTCAAACACACCTGGGCACACCTGGAAACACCTGGGCCACACCCAAACATACCAGGGCCACACCATGGAAATCCTCAGACACACCCAGGAAACACCTGGGAAACACCCAGGACACACCTGGGCACACCTGGGAAAGCCTCAGACACACCTGGGCACACCCAGGACCCACCCAAGACACACCTGGGAACACCTGGGCCAGACCTGGGCACACCCAAACACACCTGGGCCACACCTGGGCACACCCAGGACCCACCCAAGACACACCTGGGCACACCTGGGCCACACCTGGGCACACCCAGGACCCACCCAAGACACACCTGGGAACACCTGGGCCACACCTGAGCACACCCAGGACCCACCCAAGACACACCTGGGCGTACATGTGCCACACCTGGGCACACCCAAACACCTGAGCCATACCTGGGCACACCAGGACACACCTGGGAACACCTGGGATCGCTTTGGCCACACCTGGGCGGGGCTCAGGTTCCCTCCACCCCCCCTCCAGATTTTAGGGTCACCCCTCCCCCCCCCCCCCCCCCCCCCCCCCCCCCCCCCCCCCCCCTGGAAGAGCCGCTCGTTCTCCTCCCAGAAGGCCCCGCCCCCAGCCCTGGCCCCGCCCCCTTTCGTGGGGGGAGGGGCGGCGGGGATGGGGGAGGGGCAGCGGGGGGAGGGGGCGGGGTCTCCGTCCTCGTCGTCATCCAG